CCAGCAGCTGCCCTCGGGGCAGCTGAGATCTAGCTTCTTCTCTCACCGCAGTAACAGACTTTTCTCACTGACCTTCTAAGTTGTCTTTGGCGTTCGTGGGTTAAGAAGTCTGGAAACCGCCACAGCTGTGGGCGATTCAGTCCTCTGAGGCCTGCTCTAGGTTCGCTGAGGCCTGCGCACCCACGCCGAACTGCGCTCCTCTCCCAGCCCGGCGCGATATACCTTTGCGATCAGCCATCCAGGTTGTCTTGGGCTGGAAATTTGTTTTACTCTGTTTTTTTGTGGGTTCTGCTGCTTTAGAATTTGTTTAGAGACATTTTTTTTGTACGTATTTGGAGGGGTTTGGGGGAAGAGCTCTAGCAAGTCACTGCTTTTCCTCCACCTTCTTGGCTCCGCCCCCAGAGCTCACGTTCTAAAGGGAAGTTTCAACTACAAGTCAGAAGGAAAGGTCCCATGTTCTTTAGGGTATGGTGGCAAATCTGAGTCTGCTTTAATGCTATTTCTTGATAACATTATATCAGTTTCTGATGTTGAACCATTTGACAGTGCCAACGACATCAAAGGCGAAAATTTCCTTTTCTGATTTTTCAGTGACTATGATTGCAGTACCTCAGGAAGCAGTAGCTAGGCCATATCTCTGCCACAGTTGCTTCTTGGATTAATGGCTTTAGGGTTGGGCTGGAAGCAGAGTCTGCTGTCTGGTGGGTATCACTACTCCTGGGGCTCTTGGGCTTACTTTCCTATTGGTGATAGTTGGTCAGCAGTTGTTATTGGTGGTAATGAGAAAGGTTGACCCTTTCCTCTACAATGTTATCTTTACTCATTAATGGCTGCTGGACTTGGCTGGGAGCAAGTCTGAGGGTCTGGGATTCCCAAAGCTCTGGGTATTGGGTTACCTCCAGTGAGGCGTCAGCAGTGGTGGTAGTAGTGGTCGGACTTTCCCAGTACATACTAATTCCTGTCTCTCTTTCAGGGTTGCTTCATCTAGGCTGGCCTGCATATCTTGTAGGTGGCAATTGGTTGGCAATTGGTAGGGATGGCTGACTCTTTCTTCAGAGGAGTTGCTTCCCCAGATGGTGGGTGGAGGGGCTGGGCTAGAAGCAAAATTGGTGGTGTGGGAATTGTACCATTCCTGAAGTCTTAGGTTTATTTGCTAGTCTGTGGCAGTTATGTCAGCCTTTGTTGTTAGTGGCATCCAGGCATGCGGGTCCCTTTTCCACAGTGATTGTTCCCCTTGATGATGCCACTTCCTGTTTCTCCTTCATGATGCCTTGAAGCTTGAGTTAGACTGGTTTGCATAAGAACTCTTGTCAATATAACGATTTTGATTCCAGAGGACTGATGATGAAGTATACTATCCACTTATTGAAAGAGAAATGATTGACTCTAAATGCAGAATAAGGTATACATTTTTAGGCAAGCCAATGTAGCAATTTGTTTTGCGTATGCATATATGTTACATGATCTTTGTATTTTTTTTTTCAACTGAGGAGCAGGAGGAGGTAGAGTTAGGATAGCGAAATGAAAAAAGTAAAGAAAATAAGGAACATAGAGTTACTGAAGATCTTTTTTAGTTCACAGAAGAGAATAGAAGGAAAACCAGAAAAAGTCACAGATAAGGACAGTTTTCAAACTTACATGTTGAATTAATTATTAGATATTTTAAAATAAAAAGCAAGCTGTGCCTAATAAGGACCAACTGTTTCAGGTACTATACTCTTTTGTGTTCTATTATGTATGTGGAAATGCCTATTTTATTTGGTGTTTGCTTAACTTATAACTAAAAACAAAAACAGAAACAAACAAAACATCCCCTAACCCTCTGACCAAAAACCCCTTCCTTCCAATATCATCCCAGACAGTACCACATTTCTAGGTACCATCCTCCTTTACAATCATTGCCCTTCTTCTGCCTCAGCCTCTAGACCTGAATGTTTCTGAGCCCTGGGATAATGTAGCAAGACTCTTTGAGAGGAAACATTGAGAGCAGGTGAGCTTTCGTCATTTTTTTTTCCTCTTGAGAATTACATTGTGGTGACTTGTTTTATTTACCTTCTACTTAAAATGGTTGTCAATTTTTTTGCTTGTTCTTCTTCTTGATTTAATATAATAAATGAGTCTAGGTTAATCCAAGAGGTAACATTTTTGGTGGAAAGAGTATTGTCTTTGACCTATGGAGATATACATTCAAATACTGGCTCTGTCAAGTTACTGTCTGTGATGTATAAATCACTGAAGACAGCTGTAAATGACTTCTAGTTCTAAATTTATGATCCCAGGATTTGTTCTCTTTCTTATTGGACTCTCCCTAGAATACAGCATGGGTAGATATGGATAGATGGTAGCTGTTCCTCCTTTTATCCCAGGAGAGATTGTGGGAAAAGTAGGTAAAAGGCCACTGGCTCATCTTGGCCTTGACATTGATTATTGGAGTGACTGAATAAATCATATAACTTCTCTGTGTTTTAGTTTCCTTGTCCATAAAATGGGGATAATTATGTAGAATCTGAGAATTTTAGTTAGACAGAAACTCAGGGAGCATCTATTCCAACTGGTACCTTCACAAAAACTCTCTCTACAACATATCTGACAAGTAGTCATCTATCTTTTGCCTGTAGACTGCTTTAGAAACCCAACATCCCTGAAACTGAGGCCAAGAAAAGTGAATTATCCTGCTCAAAGTCATGCAGATACTGAATAAGAAAGCTGGGATTTTACCTAGGTCTTCAGATTCAATACTTCCCCCCTGCTCAGGATGCTATTTCCATTGTGTTTGAAATGGATGTAACTGAAACATGTGGTCTCTCCAATTAATTATGGTAAATGTATACAAATATTCTTGATTTGACATGGGGGACTGAGAAATATTAGGATCAACAAGTATGTGCCATTTAGGTGGGAAATTGGATGGACCAAGCATTTTGATCCTATAGGCCATTTGATTATGGTTTTTTAAACCTGGATTTAAAAAAAAAAAAACCAAAACATTTGAAAGTTATGTAGCCTTTCTTGCAGCTGGCCAGTAAAAGGACACCATGCCAGCCCTAATGTGCAAGAAACTATTGTCTCATTGATGGGCTCATATTGTTACACTCCTTACTACATGTAACCTTCTGGCTTTATGCTTTTCTTTTTGACTATTGAAATGTAGCCTGCAATTTAATGCTTCCTGGCCCCTGGGGCCAGATTCTTTGGATTGGACCATGATAACTGTTTGTAGCTTTTAGTATACATATTCCTACACTACACTTCCCAAGCCGGGCAAAAATTAATTCTTGATTTGTTTCTGTCTTGTGGTAGAATGAGACACATAGTTCAGAAGAAAAAAAGTTAATTTAGTGAATTAACTGGCTCTGGAACTAACTGGTGAATGAACTGGTTATTTGATATTCTATAAACAAAGTAATTGAATTATTAATTTTCCACCTTTCAACAGGAGATGTTGGAATCTTATTATATAGATTTTATTTAAAATGCCACTGGACACAAATTAGAATTTTTAAATTATATTTAATTTGATAGAAATCATTGAAATTATTAAATCAAGAAGAAAAAGTTTGGGTCATTATTACAATCATTTCCCTAGATCATCTAGACATTAAAATTCCATTTGCAAAAGATAAGTTCATAAATGATAAGGATTATTAGAACCTACATGAAATCTAGAACATCAAGTTAACAACATAAAAGTATAACAAGAAAATATCAATAATAAGAAAACAAATTGGACAGTCAAGTGTCAAGTTAATTTCCCTTGCAGAGTTTAGCTATTTTGTTTTTTGTTTTTTTTTTTTTTGCAAAAAAATGCAATGGTATTCTCAAGCATCTTCTTAAATCATCTTGCCAGGGTTCTGACTTTTGGGTGCAGGTGGGGAGAGAAAGAAGGCAGATGAACACTTATATAGCACCTACTGTGCACGAGGCATGCTTTGCAAATATTATCTTATTTGATCCTCAACACAATTTTGTAGGATAAGTGCTGCTATTATTATCCCAATTTTAAGTTGACGAAACTGAGGTAAACAGAAGTTAAGTGACTTGCTCAGGGTCACGCAACTAGTAAGCATCTGAGACCAAATTGGAAGTCAGGGTCTTCTGATTCTAGACTTAGCACTCTATCCACTATGTCACCAGCTGTCTCTAGGACATTGCATTTTATTTAATAGCCAAACACAATTTACTAAATTATTGGTGTGCCAATAATTGATTGTATCATTTATGTGATATAACCAATATATTTGTTACATAATTAATGGAATGATCCAGAAAGAGGGAAAAGTATATGGGTTGGAGGGGGCAGTAGAGTGAAGGAGGAAGGAAGCAAGGAAAAATGAAATGGCAACTGATAATAGTGAAAGGACAAGCCAGCATAAAAAGTTGGAGAGAAGGGATAAAGCTGGCAACAGATTCCCAATTCCATAACCATTTGCTCTAGTTGGGTGAAATGAGTTGTGTGAATTTACTCTAAAGTGGCCTTATGCTTAATGTCTAAATCTGTCAGTATTTTGCCTTATGGCCTGGCTTGGTTAAAAATCTTGACCTTATCCCAAAGAGAAAATTCATTGTTAATATCTGGTCTCTTCTCCATATCATTTCCTCAGAGCGATTTAACACTTGATTATATGTGCCCTGTAAAAAAAAAATCCATTGATTCCACAATGGTGGATATCTGATATCTAGGAAAAACCTAGATATGGGTTATGGATCTCAATAGATTAAGGTAGAAGGGGGTGGTAACTAAAAACCCACTTCCTTTCCTAGTAATGCCTGGTGGCTGATGAGAGGGTAATCACAGGTTTATTAGCATCAAACTAGAAGATTTCTAAACCTCAAAAAAAAAGGTTGCTAGATGGTGCAGTGGATAGTTCAAATTTGAACTGAGTTCAAATCTGGCCTCAGACATTTATCAGCTGTGTGACTGTGGGCAAGTCACTTGACTTCTGTTTGTCTTAATCCACTGGAGAAGGAAATGACAAACCACTCCAGTACCTTTGCCAAGAAAATGCCATGGGCAGTATTGATGTGTTATGATCCATGGGGTCATGAAGAGTCAGACACCACTGAACAACAACACAAACACTTAGATACTCTCCAGCTTGTCTTCTATTTTAATGAGGCTTAGAGTCCTCTTGATTCTAGGCTTTTCTTTATAATACAAGTTTTTCAAATACTTCCTGCACTTCTGCACTACCTCCCTCCTTTAAAAATAAGAAAGTAAAAATAAAGCCCAATCACTTAGAGGGAGCCCATCATATTTATATTAGGCAATTAGGTTGCAGATTTGATTGAATCTGGATTTGGAGTCAGAAAGACCTGAGTTCAGATCCCCACTCAAACACTTGCTAGCTGCATGACCCAGAGCAAGACATTTAGCTATGCTTCACTTTCCTTGTCTGCCAAATGGTTACAATAATATTACCTATCTCACAAGATTGTTGTGAGGATCAAATGAGATAATATATGTAAAGTGCTTTGCAAAACTTAAAGGACTAAATAAAAGCTATATATTATTATTATGATTTTAAAGAAATATAGTTACAGTGCATGGGGAATTTTTTGGGTGATATCATTCAGTTACTATTGAAACTCTCTAGGTTATTTGAAGCTGCTATCTTTATTGGACCCTGATTTGTTTTGCAAAAGTGGGATATAGCCAGGTGAAAACTGTAGGTAATTTGGGTGTTAATGAAAAGATAAGTTTAGGCAGATTCCAGTGTGCCTGGAATCCCTATTCACATTTTTTTCTTAAATGCTTTTGTAGAAAGGCATTTAAAAATAAGAAAGAAAGAAAACCTCTCTCTCTAGAAACTTGGAAAAAATCCTTGATCAAGTAGCCATAGACTTTAATTGAAGACTATTTTGTGAACTTCGTAAACTGCACGAGAAATTTTAGCAATACAGGATGCTTAGCTACTATGGTTTGGTCAAAACCAAGCAGAAACCAGTGGTCACCTAATTACACCTTAATTTTCTGTGTTGCTGTTTGCAAGAATGATGCCAGTGTTATCTATTCATTACAAAAACAAAGATAAATAGAGCTAGGCTAAGACAGGTTCCTAATAGCCAAGATAACTTAGAGGATGGAGGCTGGTTATGGTTGAGGACTCGAGTTTTCATGGGTTTGATAATTCGTTCCCTTTGAGTGAGGATGGCTGCCCTGGCCCCTGCCCATGTCCCAGGTCCCTTCAGGCGGTACTGGTACGGGGTGCAGGGACCAAAAAAAACTTCTAAGGCCAGCTTGGGATCCCGGAGAAAGAGAAAGAACACATTAGGTTTGACGCCAATTTCAGAAGCAACTTCATCCATGTACTGAACATATGGTACTCGACTAGAATCACGTGGGCTTGACAAAAACCTAAAACAAGAAGAAAAAAAAGAGAAACCCCAGGTCAGAGGTTTGCTGTGTCCCCTTCCTGCAGTTGCTTCCACTTATAATATGTAAAGATTGGTTAGTAGAGATCTTCAGGATGAGGGAACGAATGAAATTTATCCCCTTTTCAGGGTTTCTAAGAAGTTAAGAAATTATCCTAAAGCAAAATGTGTTTTTGGTATTTTTAATCAAGTCAAATCAATAAGCATTTATTTAAGTACCTACTATGTGCCAGGAACTGTGCTAAGTATTGGGGATACAAAGAAAGGCCTGTCCTCAAGGAACTTACAGTCTAATGGGGATGGTGGTGGTAACAACATACGGATAACTATATTCAAATTATATATATATATATAAATATATATATATAATAAATTGGAGATACTTTCAGAGGGAAATAATTATAAGGACCAGGAATGGATTCTTGCAGACAGTAAGACTTGAAGGAAGCCAGGGAACAAAAGAAGTAGAGGTAAGGAGGGAAAAGATTGCAGGCATATGCAATAGCCGGTGAAAATGCATGGAGTTCAGAGATGGAGACTTGTTCATGGGACAGCAAAAAAGAACAATTACTGGATCCTAAAGTTCATGGAGTTCACTGGTCTCCATTGAGTTAAGTTTTGGCCTGTTAGTGTCATTCTGAATCAGTCCTTTATTCTTCAATTTAATAAGCATCCTTCACCCTTATTTCAGATACTTAACAGATTCTGAAGAATGATCAATTCATTTACTATACCATTTTGCTTGTCTTGACTATTATACATAGAACACTACTTCAATCTTTTTTCTCCCTCCTTAATGCACCTCATTCATAAAACCATAGACTGCCCAGGAGATTGAAACACACTAAACATGTTGCACCTTGCATTCTAATAAGGGAATGTAGTAGCAGGCTTTCTGTAGCAGAGGATTCTGTAGCTTTCTATAGACTCTAACTCTAGGGTTAAGAAGCCCTGCATTGAAGTTAACTCTGACCGAGACCCTTATAACTGACATTTGATAGGCGGAAAGGCCAGACACCCCTAATGTTCCCTTTCTTTTGCCTTCTCCAACAGGCTTCCCAGAACCCATCAAGGACTACTGGGAGTTGATTTGTCTGACACCACATCAGTACTCTTGGCCATCATCCTAGGCCACTGAGAATCCATTCAGGTTGGTGAGGAGGCAGAAAGACCCACTTCCATGGTCAAACTCTTCTCCTGACACTCATTTCCCATGTATTGGGCTTCCCATATGGGCTTCTTGACTGAGATAGGTGTTACTAATTCTATTCCTTCCTGGGGAGATGGAATATCACCAGGACTTATAATTTACCCTGCTGCCATGACTTCTAGATTCCCAGCACTGTTAGCTGACCTACTGGTGTAACTTAAGGACCTAAGTACTAGCCATACACAATACTGACTTCCAGGCCTTTCTATTTGACCTATAGCTGGACTTTCTTTTATATGTTATAGCCCCCAGTGAGATCAGGAACTGTGTTGCTTTTTCTACTTGTATACTCAGTGTTTTTGTTGTTTAGTTGTTTCGATCATGACCAACTCTTCGTGATCCCATTTGGGGTTTTCTTGGCAAAAATACTGGGGTGGTTTGCCATTTCTTTCTCCAGCTCATTTTACAGATGAGGAAACTGAGGCAAACAGAATGAAGTGACTTGCTCAGGGTAACACAGCTAATAAGTGTCTGAAGTTGGATTTGAACTTAGGTCTCTGTGACTCCAGGCCCGACACTCTGTCCTGTACTACCTAGCTGTCCCTATAACTCAGTGTTTAGTTTAGTACACTCTAAGTACTTGAAAATGCCTTTTCATTTATTCACATTCTTAATTTATAGAACTCATTTCAATGGATTTGTACATTTTTAAAGAGTTAGAAATTTCTGCAGGAGTTCATGTTTTTGCTAGCCTGAATTAAGTACTTCTCTCCCCATCAAGAGCAAAATTGTCTGTTCTTTAAGGTTCAGCTCTCCAAGTTCTTATCTCCAACCTGAGATAAGAAAGCACTAAGATTTTAACAGAGTAATGTCCATAGTCTTTCAAAGAGAGGACTATTTTAATAGAATTGTCCTGAGGGCAGAGCTCTAAATATGTTTCTAACCATAGTTGCCCTAAGGAGTAAAATGTAAAGCAGATCTAACAAGCAAACAAAGTAAGTTTAATTGTCCTTCACCAACATAAAGTTGCTTACTGTTTTTCCAGTTTGCTTCTGTTCCAGTTAATGTCTGCTGTCATATATTTCTGCGAAGGTAATTTGTTCAATCCTAGGTAAGAAAAAAAAAGGGAGAGAATCTGAGCAGGAGGGACTAGGGGAATCCTTGAATGAGAGGAAGAAGTTTTAGGAGGAAATTGTGATATCTATTTCAGGAACTCAAAGCCAAAGCTCCCATGGGGGAGCTCCTAAAAAAGCATGAGGCAGCATTTCCCTTTGGTTGCCAGTGTCAGAAAGATGAGTTATCCTCCTCACAATGTTGCAATAATTCATTCACAAAGTACTTTAGATTACAAAATAAAAAAAAATTTAGTGGAAAGAGAGCTTTCTAGCCCCTTTATTTTATAAGGAAGAATACCAATCATCTACCAAGCTAATTCTGATAGAGGAAAGATAGTATATAAAGAAAAATATAGATAAGATACCCAGATCTTCACATGAGACAAAAATCTAAGAAATTAAGTAGAAATATATCCCAAGGTCTCAGACATCTATAAACAAGTACACAAAGTATAGGTTAAAAAAAAAAAGTGAACTAGAGATCTTGATGAAATGAAACAAATTTTATCTCCAGGTGGGAATTCACAAGTAATATTTTGAGAAACACCACTCCAAAGCATTCCTGTTAATGATGAGAAACTTATGCATACGAAAGATACCTTCAGTTGCCCAAAAGTACATTTTATTTTTGGACAGCACTAATTATTAGGGAAATCTAATTGATATGTTTTGTTTTTTCCTTGCATTCAACCTAAATAAGCCTTCCTATTATTTCTGCTCAATGATCCCAGTTCTGCCCTACATAACCAAGTAAGTCCAATACATTTTAATAATAATAATAATAATAATAATAACATTTATATAGTACCTACTATGTGCCAGGCACTGTACTAAGCACTTTACAAAAATTATTTCATTTGATCCTCACAACAACCTAGGAGGTAGGTGATATTATGATCCTCATTTTAAAATTGAGGATATGGAAGCAAACAAATTAAAGTTGCTTTTTCAAGGTTGGACAGCTAGTAAGTGTCTGAGGCTGGATTTGAACTCAAGGCTTTCTGACTTCAGGTCCAGTATTCTATTACTGCACCACCTAGCTACCTACAAACATTTTCCATATGACAGTCTTTCAAAAACTTGAAGACAGTTATCATTGTCACAGATCTCCAGGATGATGATGATGGTGATGATGATAAATAATAACAACAATAACAGCTAATATTTACATAGCACTTACTATGTGCCAGGCTCTGTGCTAAGAACTTTGCAATTATTATCTCATTTGATAATTACCCTCAATGTCTTCATCTCCAGCTTAGTCACTGTCCTGGTCTCCCTTTTCTGAGTATGCTCCAGTTTATTAGTGCCCTTCTTAAAACAAAGAGATTGTTCATCACAATCTGGATGTGGATTTCCAGGGCATAATGTAGAAAGATTATCTTCTTCAGTCTGGACACTCTGCCCCTTCTGATATAGCCAAAGATAGCATTAATTTTTTTTTGCAGTCATGTCACACTGTTAAATCATATGGAGCGCACTAAGATCTCCACATAATTTTCACATGAACAAAGAATTGGACACTACTGAGAAACAACCGAAATTATTTAGCTACCTATCCCCTAATTCTGTATGATGAAGATGATTTTTTAAAAATTCAAATGTGAGACTTTTGAATAAATCTCTATCAAATCACATCTTATTAGGTTTGGCCCATCATTTTAGCCCATTGAGATCTTTTTGGATTCTGAATCTAATGTCCAGCATGTTATCTATCTCTCCTAGCTTTGTGTCTTTTACAGATCTGATAAGCCTCCTCGTTTGCCTTTATACAAGGCAATGATAAAAGCATGGAACAGCTTAAGACCCAGGAGTGAACCTTGAGGTACTTTACTAGAGACCTCCCTCCACATAGACAGTAACCTCTCTTCTTTCCAGCCATTCAGCCTGTTCTGCATCTACCAAAATTTACTCTCATCCAGCCCACATCTCTCCATTTTATTCACGAAGACAGCATTAGAGACTCTGACAAATGCTAAGCTAAAACCCGGATATACTATGAGTGCAACATACCCATGATCTTGTAAGAGAACAAATGTGAAGTGTTGTGTAAATCTTACCTGCCCTTGCTTCTGTGTTCTAGTTAAGTCCTAATTATGTCTTTTTGACCTCTTTGTTGGTGGGTTCCTTCCTTGTAGATCCATACTGGTATTTTCAGATTGTTTCCCTTTTGTTCATCATTACATCTTTTTGTATTTGTCACAATATTTCATTCTTGAGGGCTCCCTATTACTCTTGGGGAGGCTTGCCAGATAGGATTTTAGGCCATGAAATAAAGAGAGGTAGGTGGCATGGTGGATAGAGCATTGGGCCTGGAGTCAGGAAACCTGAACTCAAACACAGTCTTACATACTTACTAACTGCAGCACCTTGATAAAGTCACCCACTTAACCTCTATTTACCTCAGTTTCCTCAATAACAAAATAAGGATCATGATACCAGCTACCTCCTAGGGTTGTCATGAAGATCTAATGAGACAATATTTGTAATGCACTTAGCACAGTGCCTGGCACATAGTAGGGGTTTAATAAATACTTCCTTCTTTCACAAGATCCTATTTAACACTTCTCTTAATTCTTTGACATTTGTTCTTGCTAAATCTATGTTGCATGTAAAGCTATGGCTGGTTTTCTTCTTCATCACAAATTCTAAGATAAAGTGGACATTACTTTCTAAAGTTCTAATATTTTGATGTCAGCAACCAAGTGCCACTTATTGACCTGAATCAGGCCCAGAATAGCCATTCCCTTCATTATTTCCTCCTTCTTGCGAAGGATAAAATTATCACAAAGACAAGATAAAAAAAATGTGTCAATTGTTCTGCCTCTGTCACTGAGAGAACTTTATTAGATAATCAGCTATTTACTACTGACTGTTTTATCATGTCTACAAGGGAATTGTGAAAAACCTCGTCAAATGCAATGCCAAAATGAAGATTTGCAATTTGTTTCCTGAACTCTATCCATCCTCTGCATTTGGACAGATACACTCCCACAAATGTATGGTTTCTGGTCCTCCATCAGTTGATTTTCACTTGAATGAGAGGTTTTTTAAGTGGAAACTGGATGACCATTTGCCAGAGATATAACAGAGGGGACCCAGCTCAGGCATAAATGACCTGATGACCCTGAAGTCCCTTCCAAATCTGATATTTTGTGTGCTCTGTAAGATGCTATGACTATAATTTTTGATATAGTGGAAATGGAAGAAAAGGTGTGAATGATTCAGAGAAGAAGAGCAAGGCAAGGGCTTCCATTTGCTTTCCCTATTTTCCTGGGCTTCGATAACAGCCTTGTAGCTCTGCCAGATTTAACCATAATGCATTTTCAACATGAACCTTTAGTTTTAGTTGGAGAGCACATTATTGATTGTCCTTTGAACAGAAGTGGTTTTTTTTTAAAGGGTATGAATTTTATTTCTTATCACAGACACAAGGTTAAATCTTGGCAAAATTGTGAGGCTGGCTAACTTTGCCCTTTCTCAGCTTTCTATTTCGTCAGTCCTCTCTCTGATGTTGGAATTTCTGTCTCCTCAGGTATATTATCTATGCCCTAACCTAATAGGTCCTTGTTTTCAACAAGCAATCACCATTAGGATCAAGAGATTAAATTAATAATTATAATAATGATAATAATAATAATAATAATAATAGCTAGTATTTATATCACTTTAAGGGGTGCAATTTGCTTTCCAAATATTATATCATATTATCCTTACAGCAATCTCAGGAGATAGGTGCTATTACAACTCCCATATTATAGTCTTAAGGTGCTACCTCATGATGTCTTAATATGTTACATTCTTAGGGAGAGATAAATAATGAGACTCTTGGAATTCTTAAATTCTTTAAGCTCCAAGAAACTGATTCTCTAATCTTTGATTAGATTAAACTTCAGTTTGCCAAAACAGTTTATCATTCTTTAGTACTTTCGTAAGGGCAGGTTAATTTTAGCATAGCTGTTCACATTTGGCGCTGGTAAAATTTCCTGAGCACCAATGGTGTACAGAGATGAAAGTCCAAAGGTTGAATTTCAGACATTATGACAGGTCAATAGCAAAGACATTTTGGGTATAGGTGTCCTTCTCTCAAATCATGTCTCAATAGTGGCTACCTATTTCAAAAATACAAATAGGTAATACAGCATAATAGCTAATGATCTGGTTTGGGGAGTCCAAGAAAAGGAGGTTTAAGTCCTTACTCTGATAGACACTAGCTTTCTGACCCTGCTCAAGTCACTTAATATCTCAGTGCTTCATACAACTAACTGTCTGTGACTATATGCAACAGGAAGTTTAATCATTGGGAGCTCCCTACATAAATGAAATCATAGGTCTAAATTAAAAAAAAAAGTGGGCCTTACACCTACCCTTAAATATACGTACAACCCAACGACTCTGGAGTTCTGATGTAGGAATGGTGGCTCCTATTGGTTGGAATATGCCAATAAAAGCTAGCGTTGGCTTCTCAAGAAAAGATGGAAATACAAACTTATATGAGGAGTTATGGATGTCATTATTTTTTAAGTCGTCTTCCAAGAAAGGGAAATCTAATGTATATCCCGTGGCAAAAATCACAACATCAATCTCCTCTTCGGTACCATTCTCAAATATAGCTGTGTTTTCAGTGAATTCTGTCACATTTGGTTTCACCAGCAGTCTCCCAGAAATGATGAGGTTGGGCATATCATCGCTGAAAGTAGCTTGATGACTCAGAAACCTATGAGAAAATGAATATGATCCAAGAAAGTGAATGTACATCTTTGTAAAGGTGAGAAATAAGCTTCAAGGAGGAACTTCAGTTTGCCAGAGCAGTCCACCATTCTTAGTACTTTCCTAAGGGCAGGTTAATTTTAGGATAGCTATTTACATCTGCACTATTAAAATTCACCAGGGCAAAGAATTGGAATTTGAGGGGATGCCCATCAATTGGGGAATGGCTGAACAAGTTGTGGCAAATGAATGTAGTGGAATACTATTGTGCTATAAGAAACAATGAGCAGGCAGACTTCAGAAAAACCTGGAAAGACTTACAATGAACTGATGCTGAGAGAAGTGAGCAGAAACAGAACATTGTACACAGTAACACCAACACTGTGCTACAATCAACTATGGTACACTTAGCTCTTCTCAGCAATACAATGATCTAAGACAATTCCAAAAGACTCATGATGGAAAATGTTATCAATATCCAAAGAAAGAACTATGGAGTCTGAATGCAGATCAAAGCATATTTTCTTTCTCTTTTTAAAAAAATTTCTCATGGTTTTTCCCTTTTGTTCTGATTTTTCTTTCACAACACAACTAATGTGGAAATGTGTTTAATATGATTGTACATGTATAGCCTATATTGGATTGCTTGCTGTCTGGGGAGAGGAGATGGGAAGGGGAAGAGAAGGGAGGGAGAAAAAAATTTGGAACTCAAAATCTTATAAAAGTGAATGTTGAAAATTATCTTTACATGTAATTGGAAAAAATAAAACACTATTAAGTGGGAAAAAATTCAAAATTTCCTTGTCACCAATGGTGTACAGAGATGAAAATCCAAAGATTAGAACTGCAGATTACAAATAAATGTGCTGTAATACATAATCATTATCTGGCAAAAAAAACCCTATAAAAGTAAAATATATTTATCTACTAGTGATAGTATCAAATTGGAATTGAGAAGAGCTGACTATTTTTCACTCTCATTTTATTGTAAGAATTCATGTATTCATAAAGACTTAAGAAGAACTACATTGACTTATACCTTATCTTGCACATTAGTCTATTTCTGACTAGCAAAACCAATGTAAGTTTTGGGGGAGCTCGTGACTGATTTCCCTGACAGCAAACTGAGCATCTAGAGATGTTCCTTCAAATATGCTAGTTTCCGTTACAAGCTATCATCAATGAATTCATCAAAATAGGTTTAACCTAATTATATTTCCAGTCTGTCCATATATTTCACACCTTTCTATGTAATGTATTTTATAAATTTAAAGTAGAAAGCTTTTCGGTTATGAGTTCATTTCTTACAAGTCTCAAGGAACATTTCCTAGTCCCTAGTCTAGGTTTTGATGAGTAAGTTCATGTTTATTCTATCTATACTTTCTTGGATTTTGTGAAGTGATATCATATTCTCTCTCTGAGCCTTTGCATTCCAAGAGTGAAGATCTGAAGCATGCTGTATTCAGGGTCAAAGGATCCAGTTCAAATCCTGGTTCTGCAACTGATTGTGACCTTGAGAAAGTTATCACATCTTGTTAGCCCTCACCTAAGGCAGCTAAGTGGCACCATAGTGCATAGAGTGCTGGGCCTAGAGTCAGAAAAACTCATCTTCCTGAGTTCAAATCTGGCCTCAGACTCTTAGTACTATGTGACCCTGGGTAAGTCACTTAACCCTGTTTGCCTCAGTTTCCTCACATGTAAAACAGACTGGACAAGGAAATGACAAGCCACTTCATTTGCCAAGAAAACCTTAAATGGGGTCACAAAGAGTTGGACATGATTGAAAATAACTGAACAAAACACAGGCCCCCAGTTTCTTCCTCTATAAAATGACAGGGTTAGACTAGATGACTTTGAATGTCCCTTTCCATTCTAAATCTCTGATTCTATGTTCTTATGATCATATAATCCCTAGATGTTTTCGTTGGTTTACATATGGCAGTCCCTCAATTCTCTTAACTAATTTGGGTACCTTTTGGTGTTTCTGAGGCTTCATGTTTATGTTTTTTGAGATTCAGTCACTGGAACTGAATACAGTAGCCCAAGACTGTCTTTCTATGAGGTTAGAAGTGGGTTTTCTCTTTTGTTTCCAGGAATTTAGTCATTTGTTTCTAGTAGTTAGATGCAGCTGATAGCAAAGGATATAGAGCACTGGTCCTGGAGTAAGGAAGACCTAAGTTCAAATCTAGTCTCACTATGTGGTCCTGTGTGAAAGTGTGTGGAAGTGTGGAAGTCACTTAACTTCTGCCTGCCTCAGTTTCCTAGTTGAAGAAATGGGAATAATAAGAGCTCCTACCTTACAACGTTGTTGTGAAGATCAAATGAGATAATATTTGCATAAAAGTGGTTTAGCCCAGTGCCTATAGTATTTATATAGCAGGCACTATAGAAATACTTATTTAGTTCATTAGTAATTTTCTTGATTATAGTTTCTTTGATGTTCTCTTGGGCAGCATTATATAACTTCTTAACATGGTTATTATAAATAACTATATATAACATTGCATATGTATAAGGAACAATTATACATACACATATAAACTTTTTTAACACACGAATTTTCACAAGTAGCACAGAATGACCTTTATGTTATAAAGTCAACGAAAGAGAGATCAGAGTCCCAATGTGCTGCCCAAGAGGACAATGTATACATACACTGTGTATTTATATAAACACTTTTTTTTAACACTAAGTTTCACAAATAGCACAGAATAACCTTTGTGTTGTGAAGTCATAGAAAGAGAGATCAGAGACCCAATGTGCTGCCCATGAGGACAGTGTGTGTGCATGTATACACACATATAGAAGTACACATATATGATATGATATATATATATATATATATACACACTTTTTGAAAATACAGTAACTTTCACAAGTAGCATAGAATGACCTGTATACACAGTGTATATGTGCACTGTCCCCTTGGGCAGCACATTGGGTCTCTGATCTCTCTGTGACTTCATAACACAAAGGTCATTTTATACTAATTGTGACTGAGGTGTTAAAATGTTTATTAACCACTTAGAGATAGCAACCCTCTTTTATTTATAGCTTAATCAACTGTAAATAGTAGAGAACTCATGATTTATTGGGACTTGGTTTGACATGAGATGAGAATAGAAGTAAAGGTGAAGAAAAGTTGATGATACACTGGGCATTCAGGTTTCAGAACTGTATTTAAAAGAATTCCCTTCATTCTAGAAAAAAAGGTCATAGTACACAGATTGGTGAGAAAGACATTTCACCCACAATACAGGCTAGGTTTTTATAGCATTGATTCAAGAGTTTGACTCCCTTTGCTATTCTAAACTTTTAATTGAGAAGCCCACAAATTCGAGAGAAAAGGAAATAAGAAAACTAGGTGGAATTACATTGGTTGCTATACCTAGCAGAGAAAATAAAGGGAGGGCCAGGAGAGTTGCCACAGGTTCAGTTTATCAGCCTATTCTTAATTTATAACTTATCTAGATCTGATCCTTTGTTAAGGATAGACAATTAGGGATGGGATCTAGGAATATATTCCTAACTTGCACAAGAACCATCTATAATGACCACCTTGGATTCAAACACTCTCAAGGTGATACTGTAATTCCACATGAAAAATGGCAGTGTAACATCTCCATTTCTTCATTCTAAGTAAAAATAGAGTAAGATGGCCCAGAAACTCATGAAGGAAGAGGCTATGGTGTCCCTTCTTGTTATGGAACTGAAAGGGATATCAATGGTCATCTAATCCAAAACACATTCCCCCAAAGGCTTTATTGTAACACTCCACTACCTATCCAATAAATGGTCATCATCCTTTGCTTCCCATTTTTAAGGTTGACATTTTGTGCTTAGGGTATGATCCCTGATGTATTTCTTATAGGAATTTTAATCCATCTCCAAGTTTCCTACTTGACTAGCCCACTGCAATAAACAAAAGAAAATAGCCCCCCACCCCATCCACTTTGACCGTACCTGTGCTGAGGCTGAAGACCAAAAGTTGTGTGATTAAACTTGGAATTGAGTTTATTCTCTACCCAGTTGTTGATCATGGAGGTTGTTAGCCACTTACTGATGTTGTTATAAAGGCGTGTGAAGAGTACAGTGTCCATGGGATTCCCATTGTCCCAAACACGGTTCCATATCCAAGTACCTCGCCTTGTACTGAGGAACACCTAGATGAGAAAGAAGTTGTTATAGTATAACATACTTTCCTTACCTCATCCTCATCCTCACCATTGCTTGATTTGATATAGCACTTTAAGGTTTGCAAAGTGCTTTACTTATATTATCTCATTTAATCTTCATAACAGTCCTGGGTGGTAGATGCTATTATTTCCTCCACTTACAGATGAAGAAACTGAGTCTCATGGAGGTTAAGTGACCTGCTCATGGTCATACAGTTAATAAGTATCTGAGGCATATTGAACTTGTCTTCCTTATTTCAAATACAGCACTTTATGCCCTGTATCACCTAGCTAACCATCTGGATGTGTGAGAGGTGGAACCTTAAGAAGGTCTTCCTGATTCTGAGACTAGCTCTCTATCCACTATATCATACTGTCTTTCAGAAATACATTTTATCACATTTCATCAGGTTATCTTCTGCATGATCCAAACTATTTTCCCATAGCAGGAGCAGATTCCTGGAGTACTGTATTCTCAAGGTCTTAAACAAAACAAAAATGGGAAGCAGTGAGTCTTTTGGATTCCAGCTATGTCTGAAAGTCCATATACTTCATGGATGGTGGTGAATGGATTCCTTTGAAGAAGAGTGTATTTAATAAAGTCAGACCTGTTTAGCCACACGACTGAGCTCACAAGCCACATCAGCTCCAGAATTCCCAATGCCAATCACAATGATTCTTTTCCCTAAAAATTTCTCTGGATTCTTATATTCCCAGGTGTGGAAATAGAGTCCTTTAAACTTCTTGATTCCTGCAAGGAAAGAAAAGAGAAAGAGACAGACAGACAGACACACACACAGACAGTCACAGAGAGACAGAGAAAGAGAAAAGGAGAGGGGAGAGGGGACAGGAGAGAGACAGAGACAGAGAGTCAGAGAAGAGGAAAGAAGGTAGGAAAGAAGAGGAGAGGAGACAGAGAGACAGAAAGAAAAAGGAAAGTCAGAGACAGAGGGGAGAGGAGTAGGAAGAGGAGAGATAAAGAGAGAGAAGAAAAGAGAGAGAGAGAGAAGGAGTAATGAATTTAGAATGAGTTTGCTTCTTACTATCTCTGTGTCCTCCTTTACTCCATCCACTGGATTTACTCTGTTTTTATTCTGTATATAACTATATTTTAACTTCATTGGATATCAGCCCCCACTTTCTTTCATTATTCCATTCTTCAATCCAGTGAAATAGATTTTCTCTATTTCTTAGACACTCCCCTTCACCTCCTGCCTCAGCGCTTTTGCACTGGCTGTCCCCAATGCCTAGAATGCCATCTCTCTCTCCATCTCCACCTTATAGCTTCTGGGGAATTTGAGTACATTCCATTGAATGAAACAATCCTTGCCCTCAAAGAGCTTACTTTCTCATGAAGGAGACAACTATACACACACACACAAACACACACACCTATATATATATATATATATATATATATATATATATATATGCAAGTATGTATATGTATATATGTGTATACACATATTAGAGTTGATAAATAAAAAGATACACAAATTAGTTAAATACAAGGTTGTTAGGGAGAGAAGGCACTAGGAGTTGGGTGAAAGGGTCCTCCTTTGCATTGAAGCCTTTCTTGATCTCCCAACTTCTAGTGCCCTCCAGCCCAGACTACCTTATTTTGAACTATTATAAACATATTTGCATGTGTTCACTTTTTACTTGTTTTATATCATATTAGTATTTGTTGCCTTTTCCATTTGAATGTAAGTTTCTTGTGAATAGGGATGGTGTCATTCTTTATACTTGTATCCCCAGCAGCCAGTTTAGTATTTAACACTAGAAAGTGCTTAGGAACAGGTTGTTGATTAATTAATTGATCATTGTGACCTGAGGCAAGTCAGTTAAGCTCGCCAATAGTCCTACGCTTCCAAGATTTAAGACACTATCTAAGTCTCAAGATTCTATGATGTATAGATAAGTGGCAATCTGCATTGGTGGCGAGAACTCTTGACTCTGACAATATTGCAGATCCTTGAAAGTTGGGTATATGTTTTCCAAAAACTATTTCCTTTTTTTCATTACAAACAGAAATTATTTTAAAAATTAAAATGCACACTACTCAAACTTCTTTGCTGGTCAACAGTAGCTTGTGGTACTGTAGAACATGGCCACCTAGAGAAAACAGCAAGCCCAGTCAAGTCAGGGTATGTTTAAGATCTAATATCCAAGCAAACAAAGGGATTAAGGGTTTAGGAGGCTTTTCCCAGTCTCTCCTTCCTGCCTACTGCTATTGCTAGTGTTTTGCCTCTGAGATTACTTTCCATTTATAATGTATGTGGTGTCCAAATAGTCTTTGTGCAGTTTTATACTATTACAGTTTAAAACTGCACTAAGACTTTCAGGACATCTTGTATTTACTTTTTATGTACAGTTATTTGCATGTTGTCTCACATATTAGAATGTAAGCTCTTTGAGGGCAAGCACCTTTTCTTTGCATGTGCAGCACCTAGCACTGTGTCTGGTAATTGGTAAGCAATTAATAAATGTTTGTTGGCTGATTAACTAGATTGATCCATAATCTCTTAGATATCAGGTTAGATTCCAATCCATTCAAGCCTTTTCATCTTGTGGGATTCTTATCTATGTCTTTCCATAAATGCTCCATGGATAGGGATCACCCAATGCCCCAGAAGCTTTCCTTTGCATTTTTTAATAACCTGAGGGTAGTGATTTAGTGCTTGGGCTCTTTTGTCTCTCATTCTCTTTGACCTGTGTCCATCCATATATGGTCATATATGTGCTTTTAAGTTACTTCTCATGTTGACATTGCTACAGCCTCCATACAATTAAATCCAATCATTTCTACCCTCATATAAATCCCCTTCTCTCCTCTGACCACAATCCTAGTGGAGGACCTCATTGCCTCAAGCCTGGATTAGTGTAGTAGTCTGCTGATTGGTCTCCTTCCCTCAGGTTTCTTCTCATTCCAGTTCATCATTCACTGAGCTGATAAAGTGATCTTCCTCAAATTTGTCTGATCAATAAACTCTGGTGGTGCCATAGCACCTCCAGGATCAAATATAAAATCCTCTGTCATTTAAAGACCTTCACAACTTGATCCCTTCCTATTTTTCCATTTTTCCTTTAGCCCTTTCTCTCACCTCCACATACTCTGTGATCCAGTGATACTGACCTCCTTACTGCTCCTTAACACTCCATCTTTCTACTTCGGTCATTTTCTTTGGCTGGCTGCCCTTCCTGGAATGCTCTCCCTGTTCATCCTACCTCCCAGTTTCTCTGTATTCCTTTAAGATTTAGCTAAAGGCTCAACTCAACTCATTAAGGGGGATCGGGAAATACTTCTTGTAGAAAGTATTTACAAGAATACAAGAAGTATTTCCCAATCTCCCTTAATGCTACTGCTTTCCTCCATTGATTATTTCCAATTTATCCTGCATATAGCTTATTTATACATAGCAATTTACATGTTGCTTCTCCCATTAGACTGTGAGATCCTTGAGAGCAGGGACTGTCTTTGAACTGTCTTTGTATCTCTAGCACTTAGCACAGTGCCTGGCATGTAGGAGATGCTTATTAAATAAATGCTAGTTGGCTGATTACCATATGCCTTTTAACAATCTTCTTTTATTTTTTTTTAGTCACGTCACCACTCTTATTTGTCCTACTCAATGTTGAGGGGGTAAAGCTAGAAACTGGAACTGTGATTTCACTGATACAAGGGATTCCCAGATGAGGAAAGCCCCTTACTGTAGGTTGGGGCACCATCTTTGCAACTTAGAACCTTACAGAGTTTCCTGGACCAGGAATGACTTGTCAAGAATCACACAGCCAGCTTGAGTCAGAGGTGGGGCTTGATTCTAGGCATTCCCAGCTCCAAGGTCAATGCTGTGTCCACTATACCATTCAAAGTAAGAAGTATCTAAAATCATTGGGAGCTGGAAGATATTTCATAAGCTATTCTGTTTGCTGAGTTTGGGAGGCCATTTTCTTTTTCTCATTATGAATTGATCTTGGAGGAGGATATCTTCTCTAGAGAAACCCAAAATAACTTATTAGAATGTTAATTAATAATGGCTTAACTGCTTTATAGAGGCAGCAGAATATTAGGAAAGATGAACTTGAAGATGAATGCAGTTATAATTCAGTCACCCCAAGGAAAGGAGACATCTGGGGGCCTGGTGGATGGATAGAGTGGATAGAGTGGATAGAGCACTAGGAAGACCTGAGTAATTTTTTAGGGGAGTCTTTTGGAGATGACCAATGAGGTCCTAAGTGAATAAATTGCTCCTATACTATATGTTGCACTCTGAGATCTTTGCTTTTTTTAAAGTAATTTTTATGCACACTGTATAAGGTAGCATTTGGGCCTTTGAAAATATAGATTGGATAATTATATTTTGTTAATACATGTATATATGCATACATACATATGTATGTGTATACATATACATTATATAATACATGTATTATATAATATGTAATTATATAAATTTATATATGCTATAATAAATATAAGTTATAAATATATATTATATTGTTGTTGCTGTTTGGTTATTCAGTTATGTTTGACTCTTTGTGACCCCATGGACCATTTTTGTTGTTCAGTCATTTTTCAGTTACGTCTAACTCTTTGTGAGCCCATGTGGGATTTTCTTGGCAAAGATACTGGAGTGGTTTTCCATTTCCTTCTCCAGTTCATTTTATATATAAGGATCTGAGGCAAGCAGAGTTAAGTGACTTGCCCAGGGTCACACAGCTGTTAAGTGTCTGAAGTCACATTTGAACTCAGGTCCTCCTGATTCCAGGACTAGCATTCTTTCCATTATACCACTTGTACCTCCCATCATGCCAATGATGTCCATGGGGTTTTCTTGGCAAAGATACTAGATTATTTTGCCATTTCTTCTCTAGTGAATTAAGGCAAACAGAGGTTAAGTGACTTTATCAGGTTTACACAGCTTGTAAGTGTCTGAGTTGGATTTGAACTCAGATCTTCTTGACTCTAAGCCCAGCATTCTACTGCTAAGCCATGTAGCCATTCTCTCTCTCCCTCCCTCCCTCTCTCTCTCTCTCTATATATATGTATATGTGTGTGTGTGCACACATTATAATGTGAGCAGACCCATAAATATATATATATATGTATATAAATGTATAAGTTCTTTTTCTACTAAAATAAATCTGAATTTATTCAGAATATAAACAATACAAAGATTCTCTATGGGTTTTGTTATACTATTCAATTACTCCAAATGACTAGCAATACAGAGGTCACTCATTTTCTTGTTCTGATCTGTAATAGAATGCATATAGAATATTTTTTAAAAATTTAAAGGCTTTTTCTAACCCTATGTGTGACTTACCTGGAAAGTCTTTCAGTGGCAAATTAGGGCAAGTAAAATGGCCACTGCAAACCATGATCCCGTCAAAGATGTAGGATTTCTGCTTCCCGTCAGCCTCTACCACAACATCCCACTGGCCAGTGGAGGAAAAATCAGAGCGCTTCCTCACACTGCATACCTTTGACTGGGAAAAAAGGAATAAACACAGATCATTTTGCCTAGTATCTTTAAATCTCTGCTGTTTTGGTAGAGTTCTAGACCTTGTTATATGCCTACTACCATCTTTTTCTTAACTCTAGTTCAGACAATAATGTCTAGTCCAGCGATTCTTAATCTCTTTTGTGTCATGGATTCCTTGGGCAATCTGGTGAAGTCTACAGATCCCTTCTCAGAATAATGTTTTTAAAGCATAGAATAAGATACACAGAATTAGAGAGGAAATCAATTATGTTGAAATATAGTTATTAAAAATTTTTTAAGCCAACTTCATGTACCCAGGTTGAGAATCTTTATTCTATGCTGCTCTAACCCCACCTTTACCAGAATAAGATGAGTTTTGTGGAATAGGGAGCATAGTGGAAATCTCATTCTGAAGAGGAGGAATATGGCTTTTAAGGCCTCTGTTACTTCCTCTCCTAATATCTGTTACCAGTCCTGGCTGTGTTTTAATGGAGTGTGCTCCATGCGATGTTCCCTGCACATTTTTCTGTATTGTATTTTTCTCATCTACCAAAGAATGAAATGGAAAAAAGTTATTTAAATAAGAAATAAGATAAAATAAGAGCCTTTATTCCAGTCCAACATTTCCTTGCAGAATTCATTCAAAATGAAACGATCTTCACTCATGGAAACCAGAGCTTACCTAGATTAACACCCTTCTCCCCTTGTTTTCTATGGCATGGTCTCATTATTAGTAAATTTGTAAAATGAGTAAATTAGTAAAATTTGAACTCACTCTCTCCATTTATGGTCCAATCATGTAAGACTACTTATGCTCCCCATGAGCAATCTGCAAATCTATGTTTTCACTCTTTCCTTACTCACCAGGAATTGAATATGCTTCAGAAGTTCAAAATGCTTGATGTACATTCGTAAGTACTCCATCATTTTGGAATTGTGCATGTAGTTGGGATAATCATCAGGAAAAGGGTAATCACTAAAAGCTGTCATCTCCTTAGAAGTATTGCAGGTTAGAGATCTGTAGATAGCGGGTCTCCCCTCTTTTGATTTTTCCTACCAAAAAAAAAAAAAGAAAAAAAGGATTCTCAGGGTGAAGAAAGAACTAAAGATGTTTTAAGACATGAAGCTCACTGGTCTCCTACTTTCCGTGTATGAGACAAAGTCATCCTTCTCAATTACCTACAGTAGTGAAAGAAATGTCATAGGACAAGTAACTAAAAATAGAAAATAATGCACTTAGCTAATTCAAGGCTTTAGCCCTTCTCTGCCCTGTGCTGGGAAATATATTTACCTACTGAAATGGCTCAGGGACACAGCTAAGAGTCAAGGATGTGGCTTTGTTCTCTGCTTTTGCTAGGCAGAGTAACATGCAATCTATTCAAGGGAGTGTGGTGGGGAAGAGGGAATAATGTTGTAATTAAGGTTCCTTTGGCAATTATAGAAACAATAATTAACATTTATGTAATTCTTTAAGGTTTGTAAAGCCCTTTAAAATATTATTTCATTTGATACTCACAACAACCCTGGGAAGAAGGTATTATTATTATCCTCATTCTACAGGTGAAGAAACTGAGGCAGACAGAGATTTAAGTGATTTACCCAGGATCACACAGCTAGTAAGTGTCTGAGGCAGAAGTCAAACTCAGCTCTTTCTAATTTATGTTCTCTTCAAGCCCTATGTTCTATTCACTACACCACCTAGATGGTGGAGAATATAGCAGCTAGAAAATTCACAAGGTACTAGCAAGACTTTGACAGAGGTTTTCAATGCTATTTTCAGGAAAAAGAGAAGAGATAAAGTTGGTTACAAGGATTATGGATGACTGCTTTAATTATCTCTACAACCCTCTCTTCCACCCTCTGTACAAGGACTAGCTAGTCTAATTATTGTTCAATTAATAAACTATGTGCATTTCATCATCTCCTCCCTCCCCCTATCTTCTTTTTATTTCCTCTATTTGGGATGTCCTTCATACCAGATCTAGAATTTGAAATTTCTTCACATAGGGAAAATACCACAAACTGTGCCTGGGTCCAGGGTCATGAAAAACATACTCATTTGAAAGTGTGAGGTGTGAAGAAGGGCAAGGAGGGGCCAGGGTGGGTTAAGTGAGGAGCTCTCTCCATTTTTCCATTTAGTGGTTTCCTATTTTAATGACCTTTTTTTGATAAGTACATGCCAGGCTCTATTGTTTCTGTGCTTTAGAAGGACTGTGATTGTTAGTTATCAGCACTCTTTAAATTCTGTATCTTGGAGCAAAGCCCTAGTGCTTTTGCCCTGCTCCCTACTGCATTTGATTATTTAAGTACTAGCCAATCCTTTTTTTTGCATCATATTTAAAACTTTTGATTAAAAAATTTACTTAACAAAATATAATTTGTTCTAGGTTTTAGAACTTTCAATGATTCATAGTCACCTAGGTGTGTTTTCTTAATTTTGTTGATATATAACATAATAATAATAATAGCTAGCATTTATATAACTCCTCCAATCTAGGCAACATGCTAAGGGCTTTACAAATAATCTTTACTTCCAAATATATCCTTACTCCCTGTCCATTAGAGAGATTCATTTCTTATAACAAAGAACAAAAAAGAAAGGACATTTAAAAAATCAGTTCAGTAAAACTAACAAATTCATTACCCTCCTGACAATATATTCAATGTTCCCATTGAATATCCAACATATTCAATGTTCCCAAACCCATAATCCCCCCCCACCTTTGCAGAGAAGGGAGGATGAGGATGAGTTTTCTCATCCTTTGTTCAGAACTAAGTGCATTCATTACAACATACAAAATCCAACTCTTTTTTTTGTTGTTTCCCTTTACATTGTTGCTGTCATTACATAGAATTTGTAGACTGTTTCCTGGGTTTTGCTCATTTCACTTTGCATTAATTTATGTCATCTCATACTTTTTTGTATCATAGTATTCATTGTTTCTTATGGCATGATAATGTTCCATTACATTCATGTATCACAGTTTGTTTAGCCATTCCTCAAATGATAGGTGTCTGTTTTGTTTCTAGTTCTTTGCTACTCCAAAAAAGCACTGCTAAGGGGCAGCTAGGTGGTGCAGTGGATAAAGCACCGGCCCTGAAGTCAGGAGGACCTGAGTTCAAATCCAGCCTCAGACCAAACACTTGACACTTAATAGTTGTGTGACCCTGGGCAAGTCACTTAAACCCAATTGCCTAAAAACAAAACAAAACAAAACAAAAAAAACAAAACAAAAACAAAAAAGCACTGCTAAAAATATTCTGGTGTGTGTGGAGCCTTCCTTTCTACTATTGACCTCTGTGGAATATATGCCTAGCAATTAGATCGCTGGGTCAAAAGGTATGGACATTTGGAGAGCTTATTTTTAGTATAGTTTCTAATTGCTTTCCAGAATAGTTATTAGACCCATTAATATCTCCACCAACAGTATATTAGTGTATTTGTCTTCATAAGTCTCTCTAACATTGACTATTCCATTTTTTCCAACTTGATGGTTATGAGATGAAACTTCAGAGTTCAGATTTGCATCTATCTTATTAGTGATTTTAAGCATTCTTTCTAGTAATTGTAAATAGTTTACAATTTAAAGCACTATTTGTTCACATTTTTGAGCACTTATCCATAGGGAAATGGACCTTCATCCTAAATATTTTTGTTAGTTCTCTATATATTAGCTATCAGACTCTTTTCAGTGATAATTGGTACAAGGATCCCCCCCCCAGCCAAAAGCTTCCTTTCTTATCTTCATTGCATTTATTTTGTTCATGTAAAAGCTTTTCAATTCCTTAATTCCATGTAATGCAAAAGGCATGTAATCTGGTTTTCTTTTTCTTTCTTTCTTCCTTCTTTCCTTTCTTTCTTCCTTCCTTTCCTCCTTCCTCCTTCCTTTCTTTCCCTCCTTCCCTCCCTCCTTCCTTCCTTCCTTCTTTCCTTTCTCCTTTTGTCTTCAATCTTTTGCAACGTCATGGTCTTTTCCAATGAATCCCACCTTCTCATTATGTGGTCAAAGTATTTAAGCTTCAGCTTCAGTATTGGACCTTCCAGTGAATAGCCTGAATTAAATATTGACTAATTTGATCTCCTTGCTGTCCAAGTGACTCCAAAAGTCTTCTCCTCTACCACAATTTGAAAGCATCAATTCTGTGGCACTCAGCTTACCTTATAGTCCCACTCTCAGAGCCATACATTACTATTGGAAAAACCAAAGCTTTGGCAATATGGACCTTTGAAGGCAAAGTAATGTTTCTGCTTTTTAGAGTGCTGTCCAGATTTGCCATAGCTATCCTTCCAAGGAGCAAGTGTCTTTTAATTTCTTGGGTGCATTCGCCATCCTCAGTGATCTTTGAACCCAAAAATATAACATCTGACACTGCTTCTGCTGAAATGATGGGATCAGTTGCCAAGATCTTAGTTTTTTTTTTTAAATTTTAAGCTTCAAGTCAGCTTTTATATTCTCTATCAAGAGATTTCTTATTTCTTCGTCACTTTCTGCCATCAGAGTGATATCATCTGCATGTCTGAGATTTTTGATCTTTCTTCTGACAACTTTAATTCTGACTTTTGATTCATCCAACCTGGCATTTTGTATGATGTGCTCTGCATATAAGTTAAATAAATAAGGTGACAACATATAGCTTTGTCATACTCCTTTTCCAATCTCAAACCAATCCATGTTCCATGTTCAGTTCTAATTGTTGCTTCTTGACTGCATACAAGTTCCTCAGGAGTCAAGTAAGATGACCTGGTACTCCAATCTCTTTAAAGACTTGTCACATTTTGTTATGATCCAGACAGTCAAAGGCTTTAGTGTAGCCAATGAAGCAGAGGTAGTTATTTTTCTGGAACTCCCTTGCTTTTTCCATAATTCAGTGAATGTTAGCAATTTGGTCTCAAGTTCTCAGTCCCTTCAAAAATCAGCCTGCTCTTCTGGTAATTGTCAGTTATTGCTGAAGTCTAACTTGTAGGATCTTAAATATAACCTTGCTAGCATGTGAAATGAGTACAAATGTTTAGTAATCTGAATATTCCTTGGCATTGCTCTTCTTTAGGTCTGGGATACAAACTGATATTTTCCAATCCAAAGGCCACTGCTGAGTTTTCCAAATTTGCTGGCATATTGAGTACAGCACTTTAACAGCATCATCTTTTGGGATTTTAAATAGCTAGAATTCCATCACCTCCACTAGCCTTATTGTTAGCAATGCTTCCTAAGGCTCATTTAACTTCATTTTCCAGGATGCCTGGCTCTAAATCAGTAACCATACCATTGTAGTTATTGGTGATGTTAAGATCTTTCTTGTATAGTTTTTGTGTATTCTTGCCACCTTGTCTTAATGTCTTCTACTTCTATTAAATCCCTACCATTTTTGTCTTTTATCATGCCAATTTTTGCATGAAACATTCCCTTAATAGCTCTAATTTTCTTGGAGACCTCTTGTCTTTCCCATTCTATTGATTTCTTCTATTTCTTTTCATTGGTCATTTAAGGAAACCTTCTTATCTTTCCTTGATATTCTCTGTAATTCTGCTTTCAGTTGCGTATTGTATTATAATCAAAATGTAAACTAGCTCATATATTTCATTAAAATATATACTCTTTGGGGGCAGGAATTGTTTTTGTTTTTTCTTTGTAAACCCAGAGCTTAGCACAGTGCTTGGCACATAAGAAGTGATTAAAATACATGCTTGTTAATTGACAGATTTTTAGACAATTATCTTCTCTGACAATGGAGGGTAAAAAATAAAATCCTCACATACAGAAAGATGTCAGACCTTAGCAAAAAGTTTAAACTTACTTCATATCTCCATAGTCCCCCAATGTCATTGCTTTCTTCAAAGCAGGTAGGCTCCAGTCCTTCTTCTAAACAGCACTTAATGGCACTTAGACCACTGACCCCAGCTCCAATCACTGCAACTCTTTTCACTGGCATGACCTTGTGTATCAGAAACACAATCAAAGAGGTCTTTTAGCTCTGTCTTTTGGAAATAAAATGACATTTTATCACCCTGTACTTTATTCTGTATTTCCGAATTTCCATTAAAATAAACAGGCTGTTATGATATTTCTAGATTCAGCTCAAACTCATGCAATTCCTACTTTTATAACCTCCTTGGAACCAAGACCACTGTCACTTCTATTGGAATCACAGGTATAAGGTCCTGAATTCCTCTGGCTGAGCAACCCTGTATCTCCCCCATAACTGTGGGGTGTTCTTTTTAATAGCAAAGGAAGAGGCCAAGTACCTCCATATTGATTATAGGTAGTAGTTCAATCAATCATTATGGATACTTACAAACAGGGGCAATCTGGGTTGGCTGCCAGACAGTTTTGTGGATCCTCCTCTCCTGAACCCCAAAATCCCCATAGTAATTATAGAAAACAAAGTCAGGCAGAGCTAAGAAGTGCATCACCACTGATTGGTGGATATTTTTGGTTTTCTGCTTAGTGAAGACCTTGGGAGTTAAACCAATGTTATGTGCAAAAATAAATTTCTGCATTGATCATGTTCTGGTCAGAATATGTTTGTTTTGGCTTTCATAGGTCATAGAATCTTAAGTTTTGACTCAGTGTCTAAGTTATAATTTAGTATCTAAGTTACTATTTGCAAACAGGTCACCATGTTTAGGTTTCCATTTTTCCGAGAGTTTAAGTTTTTATGGGATTTCATTTATTACTGTATTTTAGGGCTTTTTTCCAATTCTAACCCTACACCAAGAAACTTAGTTCCTGACACAGTGTGCTAAAAAGCAACACTTCTGAGAATTTTCAAATCAAGGATAACCAAGTATAAAATATCTAAAGTCATCAAATTGCTTAACAACCTCTATCTAGTTCATAGTTGTTTATTTCCAAGATAAGAATGATACCCTGCCTCTTGCCCCCAACTCTCATCTTCACACATAGAAGAGTTGTACTGATAAATGAGTCTATTGGTGTTATAAATGTGGTCAGGGCTACAATAATCATCTAGTTTTGCTGATTATAAGTCATCTAAATGGCAACATAGGATTATTTTATTTTCCTTTTTGGTCAAAAAAATTCGATTAAACAAATTGACTTTATTTTTATTATGATTTTTGTCACCCTACGTACAGGACAAGTTCTGAGTCCCATCCTACTTGCAATCTTTTAAGTAGCTTTAACCCATAATTCTCCTCTCCAACTTGCCACCTCTTCTCCCCGATGCCCAATTGGAGCTAGTTAATTTTCATTAAGTCAGTCAGTTAATATGAATTTATTAAATGCCTATTATGTGTGAGCCACTGTGCAAAGCACCAGAAAGCCTATGATTAAATTTCTCATTATGCAGGTATAGTGCCATAACCCTGGCATATGTGTATATATGTGTGTGTGTGTGTGTGTGTGTTTGTATTAGAGGAGCTGGGGTAGGAATACTATTAACTATTGTAGGTGTAAAGCATTTAAAAACTCATAAATATATAAAGGCAACCTGCCATATTGTATAGATAGATAGCTGGTCTTGGAGTCAGATAGTCCTTAGTTTGAGTGGTACCTCTGAAGCATGCTGGTTGTGTTACTCTGAGCAAATCAATTATCTGTCCAATACCCTTGGCAAGTCTCTAAGATTACTACTTGTGTATCAGGTACTGATTTGCATTGGTAGAGGGGGTTTCTTGGACATTCCCAATACCAATGAAATCACAGGGACAAAAATGCTATGTGTTAAAAGGGGATGCTAGTAAATGACTCTTCTGGAGAGGGAATGTGGATCATGACTCATTACCCTGAGAACAGAGGAAGAGGCAACTGTGCCACGAAAAATATAGTATCTTTCTTGGGCCCAGGGTGGGGTTTTTATTTCAATTCTTCCAGTTGGGACACAGAAAGATCTCAAAAAAAAAAAAGAAACAGAGAAGATTCTGGAATAATTTTCCAAATTTATCTTTGTAACCCAGTCCCTTGTATAGTATTTTTCATGCAATAGGCTCTTAATAAATGCTAGATGAATTGAATTTTGAATGAGCAAAGTCACACATCCCAAAGTGTGACCACTGTTAGATTCAGCATCTTCAAGGAATGCTCAGGTGTCACTGTCAGGCATTTGGTTAAATTCACAACAAAAGACTGAACCAATCATAACAACAAGTTTCAGATATATCAACTTTGAATTGCCAACAGAAGATACAGTTTTGGGCCAGAAGGCAGTTGATGATTCTGGAATATAGATGAAAGATGCATGCTTGGTATTAGGTTTGGGAGTCATCTGTGTAGAAAGGTTAAATGAAATCATACAAGTGGCGAGATTATGAAAGGAGAGAGTATAGAGAGGAGAGAAAAGCATCCTGGACAATCAATTACTCAATTAATCCATCGACAAACTCTTAATAAATAGTTACTATATACTAGGGACAGCTAGGTGGCACGATGGATAGAGCACCTGGCCTAGAGTCAGGAACATTCCTCTCTGTGAATTCAAATCTAGCTTCAGACACTTACTAGCTGTGTGTCCCTGGGCAAGTCACTCCCTGTTTGCCTCAGTTTCTTCATTTGGAAAATGAGCTGGCAAAGGAAATGACAAACCACTCTAGTATCTTTGCCAAGAAAACCCCAGATGAAGTCATGAAGAGTCAGACCCACCTAAAATGACTGAACAACAAAAACTGTATGTTAGGCTCAATGACCAAGGTAGTACCTTTCAGGCCTGGGAGACAGTCTGCACAAATGCATGGATGCAGGAGAAGATATGATCAGTTTTGGGGAACCACTAATAGAGTTTAGTTGGATTGCAAAAATGGTGAAGGGAAGTAATATGAAATAATCCCCAAAAGCTAGGTTGGAGCTGGATTGTGGAATACCTAAAATGTCTCTCTGTAGAGGGCCTTAAGTACGGTTGACTAGATAGGACATTGAGTTAATACATCAGTCAACATATCTTGGCTAGACATTGGATGATGGGTTCAAAACTGAATTGGAAACAAACAACAGGGTGAATTGTATTTGGGAAATTGCATACCACTTTTAATGATTCCAAGCTGTTACATACATTAGGTCATTTGAATCTCACTAGCTCTTAAGGTAGGTGCTTAAGGTTTTTATTATTGCTTCCATTTTCAAATGAGAAACTTGAGGTTAGTTAAGTGATTTCCTATGTTCACACGTATAATAAATGTCAGAGGTGGGATTTGAACCCAAGATTTTTCGATGTCACATCTAACATTCTCACCATTTATGCCATGCTGCCTTTCAAGATGTTATTAATGACATGTATGATGGGGAAAGGAGATGAGCTGATCACACAAGAGAGTGAACTATCAGATGAACAACACATTATGTTGATACTCGCATAATGTTGGGAGACTTGGTGAAAGATTCCAAGTATATTATATGGAGGATTGATAGAGAGACATGGAAAGGAATGGAAGAGTGATGAGAAAGTGTGCCTGGATTACAATCAGTACTATTGGAAAGAGTAGTTATAAGGATGAGGTCACAAATACACTCATGCACTGTTACAACCAAAAAGTTCACCATGCTGTGAATAACTTTCCGAGGACGAACTCCTCCACATATGGCTACACTGACCTTTAAGAGGTGGGACCAAGCCTTTCTAGCTTGGTGGAAATAGCATAATCCTACATACCACTGCCGTGGTCTTTGAGTCCTAAATGTTACATTGATGCTTTGTTGAGGTACCAGAGAAGGATTTTTGTGCTGTATAAGGTCCAGAGTGGTATGTGACCTTTCGATATGAGGGAAACAAGATGTAACTCTTTGAAACCTGTCTATTTGTGTTTAGACACACAAAGTATTTGTCAAATGAATGAATTAAATTCATTATTTCACTTTTTTCACTGTTACTAAACTGGTAGATGTCGGGGGTGGGGTGGGGATGCAGTAGAAAGTATCCTATATTATTCTTGTAGAGGAAAACCATAGGTCAGAAAATAAAACAATTAGATGGATTCACACTTGGTTAATGGCTGGACTCAAAGAGGAGTTAGTAATGGTTCCACATCAGCTTGAAACTTTGTGTATGTGACTTTGAAGAGCATGCCACCTATCCAAATCATTGCTAAAAATGTTCAACATTTCAGGGCAAAGCACAGATCCATAGGGACTCTTTACATATTCTGCTCTCTTAGCAGAATGTCATTTTCTTAAAGAGTATAATATGAGTTGATGCATACTGGCCTGGTAGTCAGAGTACTTCAAATCTAATTCTGACTCTTCCTCTAGTTAGAAAATGTCTGAGCCTTAGTTTCTCCATCTATAAAATTAGGACATGGGACTAGAAGATGTATAAGGTTCCTTTCAGCTCTAAAATTCTCTGAGAACTTCTTCGGACTTTACCTTCCCCCTGTTCCAATCATGGATTAAGGGCTGATTCGCTGTCCCACTCCTGCATTGACTTTTGTGGACTGAAAATAGATCCAGACGCTATAGACAATTGCTAGGGTTGGTATACCTGTAGAATTGGTCAAGAACCTAAATCACCCAATTTCAGTACTTACTGTATGATCTCATGATTTTACATATCTGTGTCCTGTACTTGTGATCTCACAGGCTCTACAGAAAGGTGGTAATAACATAGAATAATAATGATGATGATAACAGCTAGCATTTATATAGTGCTTATAAGGTGGCAGACACTTTACAAAGATGATCTCATTTGATCCTCACAGCAACTCTGGAAGATAGGTGCCATGATGCTACCCACTTTACAGTTGGGGAAACTGAGGCAGACAGCAGTGAAGTGACTTGCCCAAGGTCACACAGCTGGTAAGTGTCTTAGGTTAGATTTGAACTCAGGCTTTCCTGACTCCAGGCTCAGTACTCTGTACACTATGGAACCCCCCTAGCTGCCTCTACACACAGTGGTAAAAAATCTTTGTAGTTAGCAACTTGTATCATCTCACAACAACATGAAGTTCTACTAATGGGAAAAGCATAGAATGATCACAGAATGTTAGCACCTGAAGGAAACTTAGAGATAATGAGTTAATGAAGTCACAGCTCCCTGGGGAGGAGTTCTCTCTCTTCCTGAGGAATCTAAGGTGAAGTTACTGGCTCAAGGTCACATTGTCATTTAGTAGTCATAATGGGTAAGATTTCTTAGTTTAAAGGGAAAAAATATGAGAATAATGAACAGAAATACACAGAGGTTCTTTAAAACATTCTTCTAGCTTCATAAATTAATTTTTAAATCAGTGTTCAAAAGTTTAAGTGTTTAGTCTGATGCTTTTTGTCTATATATTTGAGATTCAGTGCTATTAATGTGGAAGTGATAATCTTAAATTAATTCAGTTTATTAAATGTTTCAAGACATTTCTCTGCAACGATCTCTGCCTGCCCCTCTTAAGTGACTTCTATGTCCTTATCTCTTCTGGACTTTTAATTTCCCTGACGAAAGAAGAAAAGGAGGAGCAAATTCCAGCTCCATCATTACTTCAGTTCAATCTAATAAGTATTTATTAAGGATATATTATGTTCCAGGCACTGTGTTAGCTGCTGGGGATATGATGAGAAGGATGGATTGGGGGTGGATAAAGCAGTATACACGTACCTTCGATGTTCCAGGCGCTGTGCTAAGCACTTTACAAATATTATTTTGTTTGATATGAGGACAAAAGGAAATAGCCCCTGCCCTCAAGGGGATTGCATTCCACTAGTAGAAAACAACAGGTATTCTGTTAAATAAATGGAAAATATACGCAAAGCAAATAGAAAGTAATTTGCAGGGTCAGAGCTATAACAAATGAGACATTTGCCATCCTATTTTTCAGTTCCTCTGAAAAAGAAATAGATCAATGTTTAGAGAGCTTTTGACCTCTTCAGTCCCCAAATCTCTCTCACTTATGGATTTTGCACACTGGATTAAATATTATTGGTTATGAGATAATAAAGGACATTTTTCAACAATGCAATGATGTAGGCATAAAATAACATTTAACCTGCATCTTCATACACTTTTAGAAAATAGAGTTCACCAAACTAACCTGGAGCAAAGGTGTGTCCAACAGCACGGTAAAACAAAGGAGGGAGCTTCTGGGTGCTTGCCAGTTGAGGATATGTTGTCTGCACTGTTCTCTCCAGGATTGAGCCAGCCCCCCAATGTTATATTTATATGATGCTTAATGTTGCAAAAGCGCCTCCCTCTTTCTCTCTTCTCCTTCTTTTGGCTTTAATAAGTGGAGTATACATGTAGAAATTTGGCATGCCATCAGTTTTTTTTCTTTTCTGAGTTGAGTCAGCTCAGACTGAGAACTACAATGGGCCTGCACATTCTTCTATTTACCAAGAATTCAAGGTCCCAGTCCACAGCTCTGGAAGCTGAGAAATACTATTTCATTGTCTCAGTCAGGGGTGATCAGATTATTTCATCCTGCTAAACTCAAAAGAGGTGGATGAACTAAAACGTCAATTCATTTAAAAAATATTTTGAGAAACAATTGTCAAGGAGATGTTCACTCAGTTACTCAAGACATTTCCTTTAGCCATGACAAATGCCAACTGAGGAAACCAAAAGAAAGCTAATGGACTTCATAAAGGTATTAGTCAGAAGGCTTTACTCTGAATTTCTTCTCTTACACTAACTGGCTTATAGACAAGTAAATCATTTAGACCTCCCAGAGCCTCAGTTTCCCCACTGTAAAATGATGAAAATAATAATTATACTATCTACCCCATAGGGCTCTTATGAGGAAGGCACTTGGTGAGCCTTAAAGTGCCTTGAAAATTCAGGGAATTATTTATTTTTGTTTATGTTTTTAAAAGATGTCAAGAAATCTCTAAAGCATGATTCACTCATTACAACTACAGACGCAAATTTGCCAATCATTTGGACATTAGAGGGTTTTTCATTGTACCATTTTCTCATGACCGATTTGTTACAATTAGTGCTGGATTCCTTTTTTTCCCCATAAACTAGAGGGAATGGTGGGAATTTAGTTACTGCTGAGAGATAAAGCCCCGACCTAAAGAGTTGAGATTAATAAGAACTATAAGTGACATGATTAATGTCAGTAAATGTTTCAGGATAATAAATGAGTGGAAATTGGGGTGTTTTCTAAGCTTTGGGACTTGGAGGGAGTAGTCTTTTAGAGAAGGGAAGGCCCACCCCAAAATCGACAATAGGAAAACCTCAGAGTTTGAGGGAGGTTGGTACAATGAATGAAAATAGAATCAGGGATACTGTCTTTTGCTACACTCCACTTCTGCCCATAAGGCCATGTGACTAAATGTAGATGAAGGTTTTTGGAGTGGAGCTCCAGCAAAGATTAGCTTCATGCACATGGCACATGAAGCCTTAACGAAAAGTGTGCCATCATTCGCTTTGTCCTTTCTTACTTGAGCTTCTTACTTGAGCAGGGACTGTCCTTTGCCTTTCTTCATAGCATTAGTGTTTAACACAGTGTCTGGTATGTGTTAGGTGCTTAATAGATGCTTATTGATTGAGTGAATGGCTCCTTCCTCATGCCTTCCCACTCAGATGAGAAGTACCTTCCCTGTAATACCACCTGAAGAGGACACTGCTAAGAACTGTCAATGGATATAGCAGTGACATCCTTGGCAGAAAGCCAAGAGGCAAGTCACTGCCAGGTGGGACATCAGAGTTGCCCATCGAGTACAGGCCCAAAATGGCTGCAGGAAATAGTTGACAGCTGTAGCTTAATAGACAAAAAAATCCCAAAATCCTATTCCAGGGCCTCCTGGAGTCATGTAGATGACCTTGGGTTCCCCAACACGATACCAACGGCACATAAGCTCTTTCAGGTACTGCTACCATGCTGGAAAGATTTTGAGTAAAATCTGAGTCTGCTATCTGGGAATCGACCTAACTAGAGAACCAGTAGGTTGGTCACTGATGAATCTTTGACCATGAGAATCCAAGAAAGAGCCAAACAAAAAATCATCTTTTGTCTTGTGCCTTCACATCTTCAGTATACTATTTCTTCAGAGAGACAAGTGGAAAACGGTGAAGAAAGTGCCAAGATATAAACAATTTTTAGTCTGTGTATCAACAAACCCTGGCTTTTCCCTCTTACTTGCTTTGTGACCTTATACAAGTCACTTTAACTCTTTGGGCCTCAATGTTCTCATCAGTAAAATGAGGGAATCAGATTAGTTGACTTTTGCAGTGTTCTCCAACTCTCAGTGAGATTCTGTGGTCTTAAGATGCTATGATCCAGAGACAACTAGGAAGCACAGGGGATAAAGCATGGATCTGGAGTTAGAAAGACCTGGATTCAAATCTGCCCTCATAGCTTTCCTAGCATGACCCTGGGCAAGTCACTTCAACACTTTGTGCCTCAGTTTCCTTATCTATAAAACAAGGGTAATAATAGCACCCATCTCCCAGTGTCACTATGAGGATCAAACGAGATGATACTTTTAAAGTCCTTTGCAAACCTTGAAATGCTATGTAAATGCTGACTATCATAAATATTACTTTGTAATTGACTATTTTCAGCTAGGGAATGACTAATTACTGATGTGGGAATTGTATCAAATTCTACTGTGGATATGTAGGCAAGCCATTACCTTATTAAAGACAAGGTCAGAATCAATATCAAATTTGAAGAAAATCTAAAGATGATTAGGAAACATTGGAAACAACTGACAGACCTTCAATCTGACCTATTCAAATGAGTTAATGTTTAAAAATGAAAAATCAAAGGGGCACTTATTAATATCTTAGTGTACTAGATACTTAGCCTTGGGGAAACAAATAGAAACAGAACAAGAAAGACCTTGTTCTCAAGCAGCTTGCATTCTAATAGAAGACAACATATATGTGGGATTGGCAGCTCGGGAAGTGCATTTTGTTCAGGAGAGTCATAAAGATGACAAAGGGAGCCACAGAGTGGTTGATTAACACAACCTTTATAGGAATGATAGTGCTAAATTAAATATCATTCCTAGAACTGGAGGTGGGGAGTAGGGGAAAGGAAGAGAATTGGAAGATTTGATGATATGATATGATGACTAAGGAAAAACAGTGTGGGAATCTGGGTTGGGCTAGAAAGAGTGAACGCTTACCAGACAGAAGCCAAGGGACCCAGGTTAATTTGGTGGAGTTGCTGGGCCTGAGTGGGAGTCTAGAGCACAGCAGCATGGGGGGGTCTGGATCAGATTAGAAATGGTGAGGGCCTCACACCCATGAGAAGCCAATAAGCCTGGTTATTGCCACTTACTCCAAAACTTAACCCATGAAAAACAGATGATAAAAAGCTTTCCTCTCGGCAAAAAGGTGGGGCCTGCAGGAGTAGAAAGTTGCATATGTTGTCAGTCATGATTGATTTGTCAGTTTGCTTTGCTCCAACATGGGTTAAATGGAGGTTGAAGGGGACTAAATTGGGAAATCACTGTGAAGTTGATTAATTGCTCTATCTATCTATCTATCTATCTATCTATCTATCTATCTATCTATCTATCTATC